TGTTTTCAATGGCGTGCAGGCCCGCACGCCAATTTTCTTTGGCGTGCAGGCGTGCACGCCAATCCCCACCTGGCGTGCGGTTTGGCGTGCGCCAGGGGGGCTGGCGTGCGTTTATCAACGCCCGAAATTTTGGAAGATAGAAAAAGATCCAGTCTCTTATTTTTTGTATTGGGATGTGTTTCTGACCAGATACAAGAATTTGGATACATTTGTTTAGGATCTTTTTCTGATACATGCAATCTGGAGGGGAGAAAATAGAGTAACAGCCAAGGGAAACATTTTTTGTTCTGACCCCAAACTAGTCCCCAAACCAGTCCTGTGAGAAGTCTCCAAAAATGTGTTAGAATTCCACACAGATTTTTCACTTGTCAGCTCCTTTTCAGTCTTTGATTGTCTCTTTTTCCCTTTGCTCTTCTCTCCTTACAGGAACATGCATCTCCTTCTCCTGACATCCCACATTTTATTACCCCAGTTATAGATAGAAAGCCTGGCCCAAATTCTACGTGAAACAACCCAACCCCATCATGAGTGCCAGAGTGGCAGTCAGCTGGTTGCTGGGTCTCCAAAACTCGCTGCATCACAGCATCCTGGGGCAGGCTGTATTCCAGTCCCACTTACACCACCGGGCGTGGTGGATGGCATTTGGACACCCAATCGGATGTACCAGATGCCATCCGGCCTTGGCCCTGCAACGAGCATCCATTGGATGCGCTTTGCATTTTGCTGAAGCCGGATGGTAGGGCCAAACCATCCATTGGATGGTAGGCTTGGAAGCCTCTGGGCACAAAAAGTGATTAAAAGGCAGGATTGAACTGGCAACCTGCCTCCCATGGCACATCACACCAGCCACCTGCAGAAGGGAGCCTAACCACTACACTATGTCGCTTCATACCCATCTCACACAAACATTATTCATATCCCCACAATTGCATTTTTGGATGGTTTTTCGACCATCGACCACCCTCCAAGCCTATTTTCCGACCATCGACCAATTTTTTTTCAACTGTGGACCCACGTGAAAACCATCAAATGGACACTCTGAGAAGTGTCCAACTGATGGTTTTCCTGTCAATCAAGTGTCCGATGGACGGTGGGCTGTATGCCATCCTCTGGATGGTCTCACCTGCCGAGCATCCCTTGGACGCTTTCTGAAGCGTCCAAATGATGCCAGGGCCGCCCGAGCGTCCGTTGGATGCCTCGCAACCAAGTTGCGGGCGCTCGGGATGGAATCCATCCGTTTGCTGGGGGGGTTTCCTAAAAACCCGCCCCATGGTGTAGATATACATAGTGGAAAAAAATGAGAAAAAAAATCATCATGGATCATGGCCAAAATCACAATGTGATTTTTGAAAAAAAAGTGGCTAAAGAATGTGGACACTACAGCCTAATGAAAGACAATTGAATTCTATTGAGTTGAACACAACCAGACCAACTATGCATGAAAAGAACCAGTGTATGAATGAAAGCGCTCGCGTCTTGGCCACTGACCACATCCAATCAAACCTGGGGAAACCAACCCACACACCCTTATTTTTTTTTCTTGAAGCAATTACAAATGTGAAGTAGTCTTTTGAAAACATACCTTTGTAATGTATCTGATTTCAGATACAATACCCACTACCATTTCTTTTTTATTTTGAGTATCTGAAGAAAAGATACAATACACTGTATTTCCCGATACATTTAGTGTATTGTATTGCTATTACTGCTGGAAAAACCCTGGAGACGCATCATCTTCCACAGACCAAGACATCTACATAATTGACATTCTTCTTCTTCTTCTTCTTCTTCTTCAATGTTGAGCAGATCTACCCCAAGGTTGTTTGAATCCCATCAGATCCATCCAACCAACTCCCCCCAAAACCCTATAAACACATCTAATCCATCACAATCCATTCCATTCCATTTTTTTTTTAAAAAAAAACAAACAATTCCTTGAAAAATTGAGAAAAAAAAGTGTTGTGATGAGCATGTCCGAAAAAAAGCCCAAGCTCTGACAATCTTGTCCAGCCTACAAAGACCACGAATGAAACCTGTTATAAACAAGGCCCTTGAAAAAAAAAAGAATCCACCAAGACCAAACAGATTTACATTGTACAAGCTAACCCGAAGCACACACGCCAACAATAATATGCATGAGCCAGCCAAAGAAGTACCCCATATTCCCCAACCGTCCCTCCCCCCCGCCCTCCACAAAAAGAAGAGGAAGAAAGAGGAGCCGTATTTGGCCAGACCACAGGAGACAAGCCCACAAAGACAGAAGCAAGGCACCAAGAAAGCATCCCAGCAGGGCCGCCCCTAAGGATGATAATTGGGCCGGGTTTCTGATAGGCTGCCCAAACCCGTCCGGGTTTGGGCCGGGCTCGGACAGCACTTTTGTGGATTTTTTGGACTTTGGCCCGGCCTGTTAAAAGCACCAAGTGGCATGGGTTGGGCACGGGCTGCCCGGTGGGTGCCCACGGGCTCTTGGTTTAGCGCTATAGCCTGCCCTCAGTTTGGATGCTAGTGGATATTCACTTCCTGGGTTCCCTAAAGGCTTTTTTGGGCAAGGTCCGAGAAGAGATCTTGAATTTGTATGTTCCGGCCCCAGCATCAACCAACCCTCCAGCAAGTACTCCTCCATCTTTGAAGAAAATCAACAAGGATACAACTTGATTTTTCCAATACATGAATGGTGCCACCAAAGGCCATCAATCAAATGCACCGGGTACTGAACTAGACCTATACCTTGAGGAGAGGAACATTGGAATCTCTAGTGAAAAAAGTTCTAATGATTCATGATTCCTCTGATTGAGATTTCTGAAATAAAAAAAAATCAAACTTTCTCTTGCCTTATATTGCCTTGTTGTGCCTGGCCCGTGGGGCCCCGGTAGGCTTTGAGCGGGTGGCCCGCTAGACCCTCTGGACCCTCAGCCCGGAGGGCCGCCGCTGGACAGCCCATGTCCGCCTCATTGTGGACACGGGTTTGGCCCGGACAGCAAAATGAGGTGATTGAACCCGGCCCGGCCTGTCCAATTACAGAGCGGGTTGAGCCGGGTCAGCCCGTGGGCAGCCCAAACCCGCCCAATTATCATCCTTAGCCGCCCCCCTCCCCCCCCCCCAAAAGAAATATATATATATATATATATATATATATAGTGTTTCCTTCACCAACACCTATATTTTTTTCAGAGACTTGTTGAGTTACATACCATTGCCAAAGAAGTGTCTGGCCGCTCAGTCCCAGTCGCAGAAAAGGGATGAAAGGAGAGAGGGAAACAGGTCCAGGCGTGGGACCAGACCAATCAGGAGCTGATAATGCCCATGATCAGTCCGAATAAAAACATAGATCCATTCACAGTCTGCCGACCATCGGAGCCAAGCTCGGTTCATAAGACAACACCCCCCCCTCAAGATGACTCCCCAGAACAACATGTTTTCGATAGTGATAAAGAAGGAGAAGATGTGCATCGGTTCTCTAGTGATTGGATGCTATCCATATACATCATGGACGACGAGCCAATCGAGAGAATGGATGGTTATAAGGTATGAAATTATACAAAGCCAAGAAAAAAGAAATTGTGGCGAGGATCGTCCTTGGTGGGGCAACCCCTACCATTGCGACTCCACGTCAACATTTCCTCAGGATCCCTTCCCTCATCTCCGCCTCCCTACGAAAAAAGAAAGATCATCATCAAGAGGGTGACCGATACTTTCAGATGATGAACCCTCCCCCCCTCGCCCAAAAAAAGAAGGGTATTAACGGAGCTTACCGATATTCGATCATCACTTGAACGGCGCAAAAGACGACGGCCAAGATAGCGGCCAAGACGCGCACCCCTAACCCGGCCAACGACAAACAAAAGACGATGAGAAAGAGAGAGAGAGAGAGAGAGCGGGATAAGCTTACCAGCCCAGGAGCCCAACAGCTCGTGCCACATAAACTTGACCCCGTCGATCCCGATCGAGAAGCCGACCAGATTAGCGCTCATCATCGTCATCACATTCAACGTTCCGCCTAGGGCGACTAGATGGCGGAACCAATGCCGCGCTCGATACTGTCAAGTTTTCCCCCCATCCCATCCCAATCAAAAATATCCACTTTCAATTGTTATTTTTTGATTGATAATTAAGAGAGAGAGAGAGAGAGAGAGGGAGGGAAACAGAAAAGAGGTTGTTGTTTGGGTACTGACGGATGATTTAGCGAAGGTTTGTTTCGCGATCACTTCGGGCAAGACGAAGAGACTAACGAGCCAGCCCCAGGTGAGTAACTTGAACGACAAGTCGTGCCAGAGGGCGACAAAGGTGAACACGACGACGGTTGCCGGGACCATATTCGCGGCGCCTCCCAACGGGATATACAGATACCTATTGCCCAGCAAAAAAGACGATTCAATCCATCGATCCGAGAAAGAGGCTGGAAGGAAGGAAGGAAGGAAGGAAGGGGGACGGGGTACCTGACGATCCAGAGATTGTAACTCCGATGCCAGCTCCGCCAGAACTCCAGAGTCGAGAAATTGTTCGACATGCATCGGACCATGTTTTCCGGGTGGATCAACCCCATCGAGGAGCGCCCAAAGTCTGAAGAACCTCCACGGGATCAACAGCTAAAAAAACAAACAGGAAATCTCGTCGAATCAGTCCCACTACTTCCCCCCCCCCCCCCTCCTCCTGCAAAACAAAAATTTGTGAAGAGAGAGAGAGAGACCTTGAGCCATATGATGATCAGATTCCAGTACCCAATGATCCCGAGCTCGAACGGCGTGTCGCCGGCCCATCCTTGGGTATCCTTAATCGCAACCACATACATGTAATGCAAGATCCATTCGAGCGTCAAGTAACATACCCCAAACCGGGCCGTGTAGCCTGCGATCGTCCGGCGCGTGATCGTGCTTGGTTTCTTGTTCATCTTCCCTCAGTTTTTTTTTTTTCGTTTACATATATCTTGTGATTAGCTTTTTGGACCTTCTTTCTCGTCAAGATCTTTCACGAACAAATGAACGAATGAACGGAAGAAAAGAAAGAAGGGATAAAAACAACGCTGGACTGAACTTGAGACATGAAATTGTTGAAGGTGATGATCGGGCCTGCGATATAAAGCGGGGGATAGAGGACGTAATTGAAGTAATTCTGGAAGCCGTAGTCGGCGGAGACCCTGTTCGATTTGGCTCTCTCTTTCTCATTCTCCGGTTCGCCTGCCGCAGAAGATCTCTATCAAACCCATCCCCCCCCCCCCAAAAAAAAAGAGTAAACGACCAAGGGTAAGCTTATTTTGAAAGCAAGGGACCAAAAAAAAAAAAGAAAACTGACGGGGAGATTTTGGAAGTGATTTTGGGCGGCCCATTGGTAATCCAAAGCATACGAGATCAGCCTCAACAGAGAGATATTGAAGCCGATTTGCCATCGCGGAATGAGCCCCTTGTATTGCGGCCGATCCTGCATCAAAAAATACGACAAACAAGATGAGTGGATATAAGAAACTTGTAGAGAGAACAAGACGGACCAAGAATTCGAGCGAAGACGCGAGGTTTTTGAACGCATACCCGTTCCAATAATCGTTTGCGAAGAGGACGGCGAGGTTAACGAACCACACGAGGCCAGTAGCTGCGGCTCTCCGAATCCCAGAAGAAGAGGAGGAGGTTGAGCGAGCGGAGAATCTGGAGACTTGGAAGTTGAGGAGGAGGATGGCGAAGATGATGAGGACGGAGGAGCCATGGAGGAGGAGGAGGATGAGCGCGGCGCTGAAGGTCTGGAAGTCTTTGCGTCGGCCGGGGCCGAGCCATCGCCGGCTCAGCTTCGACAGACTCAGGTACCCCAGCGAGAGCAGCCCCAGCTTCGTCAGTCCTTGCCGGAAGCGTCGGTACTGCAGATCCGAGTTGTCCTGGATTCAAATCGTCCGGCTCTCTGTTAGTGATCTCTATCTTTGGGGTTGGGATGTCCGCTGGCTTCCTCTCGATCTACTCTTTTGCTGGCTTTTTTTTTTCACGGATGAGTGCCGGATCATTCGACTTACTATTTTCCGGTTGAATATCCATCCTTTAGATAACTTGTGTTGATACAGGTGATAATTAGGATGATCGACTACAAAAAAATAAGTAGTCAAAAGTGTGAATTTTCATTGAAAAGCGTTATAGAAGAGGAGAAGACGGGGAGATAAGAAAGGCCGACCATGCGAGAGAGAGACGGCGGAGGAAATGATGAGCAGAAGCGAATAAGCCAAGACGGCCCAATAGATGGCGAACTCGATCGAGAACCATCTGGATTTGGAAGGGCGAGGAGGGAGCGGGGAAGAGGCTGGAGGAGGGGGGAGGAGCGGCATGGGGGTGTTTGGGGACCGGCGTTGGGAGTCGATGGAGACGGTCAAATGGGTGGGACTGAAGAGGGCGAGGGAGTCGAGACAGCGTCTGACGAGCGGCGAGTTTCTTCTTCTTCTGTTGCTGCTGCTGCTCCTCCTCCTCCTTAGATGATGATGATGATGATGATGATGATCAAGGCTTCCAGCACTCGAGCTTGTGCCCACAACTCCGTCACTCGAGCCTGGTGGGATCTCCTTCTCCGTCGTCCGTGAGTCTAGGAATTCGTGGTAGTCTGCTTGAGAGACCGGGGCGGAGACGGGCTGGAGGGGAGTCTATAGAAGAGAGAATCAGTCGATGATTGTGGGAGTATGAGAAGAGATGTGGGATGGACTGAGCACGTTTCGAGTCCGCTGGATGGTTGTTGTGTTGGTCGTCTGAGAGTGATTGGGGATGGTGGATGGGTTGATGGAAGTGAGGATGTGTTTTGGCTTGTGTTTGGGTTGGGTTGGGCCGCCCGAGGATGCTGTTTTACAAGAATTGTCAGTCAGTCAGTCAGTGTTGGTCAAAGCGGAAGCTGAGGTTTGCTCAACTGTCTGGTTGTTTCCCTGTTGTGGTGGTGGTGGTGTTTGCAGCACTCTGGGGTGTTGTTGTTGGTTTTCCACCGGCGCTCATGTTTTTTTTTTTTTTGGTTTCTTCGGCCCTTCCCCCTACGGTCGACTGTATATTTTCTCCAGCGATCCAGGTTGTACAATGTTTTTGGTTGTATGGGTGTTTAATTGAAGTGAACTCACAGAGTTCTACTGATGGCGTTTGTTCAAAAAGTGTTGTTGTTGTTGTATGTGTTGCTGTGTTTCAAAAGAAAGCTCTTCTTGGTCGGTTGTGGTCAAACCATGGATGGCATGCTCACCACCCGCCGGAGCCAGCTCACTCCCCAGACCTCCGGCTTCGACAGACCATCTCACTCCCGCTCCGGCTGACTTCACTCAGACTCCGGACCGAATTAGCCGCTGCCCTCCCACCAATCCTCATCCTCCCTTCACTTTCTTTTTGTACATCCACTAATATGTACTTGCTCTCTTACTTCCAAATTCCGCTGCAGTCTCATCAGAGTGAAATCCATCAAATCTCAGGATTATCAAAAATATATATATATAATAACTATGCATAATTAGGAGGATTTTAAAACATACACAACAGCAACAAAGAAAAGAGATGAAGAAACACGTTTTTGGGTTTCGGATTTTGTTCCACAGATCGCATGACGCGTCGGGACCCAGCCGCAACACATCCATGCAGACTCTTGATCGAACATGTCCGCTGGCTCATAATCAAGACGACTTCATGAGCTCTCTGCAGTCTGTCGAGCGCTACCTAAGAGTACATAAATAACTCGCAGAAATCTGCTCTCATCTTACATATCTATGTAACACTCGAAAACGAGAAAAAAAAAACAATGGATGAGGGCAGAAGTTACAATTCAAGTCCTTCTTGGTACATATTATGTATCATCATCACCTGGTGAGAAAGAGTTTTCATGGATGTTGTTAATTCTGTCAACCAATCCGATCAGAAACTTTGCACATAATTAAAAACCGGCGTTTTTTTTGTTACGATAAAGCCGCAACGGGGCAGGAATGCTTATATGTATGTAGATGCGGAATCAGTTCTCCGCTCGCATGTGGACACACACAGCTCATGATCATTACTGATCACAGAAGAAAGAAACCTCCCGTTGATTCACTCTGCAAGCTGGGAAAGCCCATTCCCTCATCTTGGTCATGAGAAATGAATTGAATTGAGAAAAAAGCATGTATATAAATAGAGCGTTTCTGGTTGGTTTTGGGCTTCGAGAGATGCATATAGAAAAGAAAACAAAAAACAAGCTAAAGGAAAGAAAGAGAGAGGAATGATTTATGTTCAGTTGCACTTAATGATCGATCAACAAAACACCATTGCGAACGAACAAAAGGGTGTAGCTCAGTACCCGGCGCCAGGAGCGGCGGGTTTGTTGTGTTTGTCGGCAGGCGAAGCGAGGGAACGATACGAGTCTGGATGATCGTCGGCGGGTTTTTTCGAGGTGGGCGACTGGACCTCTCCGTTGGCGGGAGTCTGAGGGGGGACCGAAGAGGGGCCATCGTCGGCGGACCCCTCCGATGCGTCCTTGGATTGCCCCTTCTTCTTCGATCCATCCGCCTCCCCGTCTTGGTCCTCATCTTCATCCTCGTCCTCATCCTCGTCGGAGTCCTCGTCGTCAGAGTCCTCATCTCCTTCCTCCGAACCCGGCCTGTGGTCTGGTAACGGCTTCTTGTCCCCGGAGTGGTCAGCTTGCTCGTCGGGAGCAGTCGTGGACGATGCTAAAAACCACAGAGATCCGATCCCATACTCAGAGCGAGCTCTTTTTTATTATATAGATAAAAAAAAAACACCCACCGTCTTTGTCATCCAAAGCAGGCTGGGTGCCGTTGTTAAGACTGCCCTGGTAAGGAGAGGGCCCGGGTTGATCGCAGTCGGAGCTGTTCTTACCGGCCGGATAAGGGCTCACCGTTGAGGCGGGGTTGCGCTTGACATAAGGGTGGCCAGGGCCGGAGGCGTCCCCAGAAGATTGGTCGCCGCCCGCAGGTTGACCACCGCTAGGTTGGTCGTCGCCGGATTGATCGCCGCCAGGTTGCTTGTCCACAGGACTTGAGAGAGTCCCGTTCTGAGAGGGGGCGCCGAGTGAGTGGTCATCGGGGCCGGAGTCCGGGGCGGAACCAGGCTTGCCTTGGGCGTCGGCAATCGTCCCATTCATCCCACTGCTTGGAGATTGGTAGGACCCGTTCGGGTTCTTTTGCTCTGGACTGTTGTCGCCACCACTGATGGGCGCGGGCTGGCTATCGCCATCTGAGGCCGTGCCATTCATCTGGCTGCTTGGGGGCTCGAAGGCACCCTTCGGGCCGGTCGGGCTTGCTGCTGGACTGGCCCCATCTGGCGCCGGTTGGCTGTCCGCATCCGCGATCGTCCCGTTCATGTGGGTGCTCGGCGGTTCCAAGCCACTGGTCGGGCCAGTTGGGGTGGGCGGACTGCCTGCACCAGACCCTGCTTTGCTATCGGCGTCTGGGTTCATAATTCGACCGAAGCTCAGTGATCCAACGACAACTTTTCTTGGGGATATATTCAACAAAATCATTCTGAACAAAAAAATTTACCTTTGGTGGTGCCGTTCTCGGTGTCCGAGTCTCCACTACCGGGCTTTCCTGGCCATGAGGGGCTTGGGTTTTCTAAAGACCGCACAAAACAGTGCTCGCTCAGCTTCGGGTAAAGAAAATAGAAGACGCGACTCTGGGCCTTTGTATATAACTACTACTCACGTGGCACATCCGGCTTGTATTGGCCATACGAGCTTGCGTCTGACTTGGCTGGGATGGCAAGCTCAGCTGACTTCCCAATGAAAAGCGCGGCAACAATAATCCAAGCAGCCTTGATCATCATTTTGCCGGTGTTGTTGTTGTTGATAATTTAGTGGGTTTAAAGAGAGTGGCGTGGTTAAGGTGTAATATAACTTGTAAGGATTGAATGGTATGGATGCAGTTGAGGAGGCTGCTGGTAAAAAATGGAAAGCAGTCCGGTTTGGGCTAGGTCGGCGGGGTATTTATCCTTGAAGAAAAAAAGCACTACAATAAGGAATCGATTCTGCCAACACGAACCATCGTTGAAGGAGAAGCCCATGAACACCAGGAGTAAGAAGAAACGAGAGAGACATTATGTCACTGCCCATATTACCTCATCCTGGATCTGATCCCGCAGTTTTCGAGGCACACCATCGGTGACACAATCATGATGCTTCCTGCAAGCTTTGATCCATAACCTCCAACCGCCTGTTGAGCTGCAGACATGCTATAAGATCTGGTGACTGTGGGCCATCTAACTGTCTGTCCCTTGGGCGGATGTGCGGACCACTCTGGATTACACCCTATATTACACCATTGCGTAAGAAAAGCGGGTGTCAGGTTCGGCTCGCAACTGTCTTTCTGGCTACATTGTAGTCCAAGTCGCTTGGCGTATACCAGCGCTTGGTTCACGGCTGTATAACTGCTTGTTCTTCGGGCCATCCGCAGACAGTATTCACTGAAAATTCCAAGCCGACCTGCCCGGATGGCCCTCGGCGGGTGCGAGGATTAAGGACACATGCTCTCGTTTCAAAACTCTGGCGAACTCAATGAGTCGTCTTGCGAAGCGGCCACAAGCTATGTGAATCGATGACCGAGACCATGGCCGCTGAACAGACTGGGACTTTATGTAGTCCAGCAGTCACATATGCAAGGGGTGCCGCGAATAGCTAGATCATCCTCTCATCAGTCAATCCATCTTGTTGTACACAGTCCATCTGGGTATCATCCGTCAAGTTCGCAATCTCGGTTCTCAATCCTTCCGCTGGAAAAGAAGCTGCGTGATGCTCTTTTATGTGTCATGGACTCATGTGATGCAATGTCATAGCTAGGGACTCAGGAAGCATTATTGGGGCCGGGCCCTCTGGAGTCTCTTCTGCTCTCCTCCGGCTACCAACCGTATGTTTTTGTGTCAACTTAGCAACATTAACGAAGGGTTCCGAATCCTCTCGGGACCCTCTGGAACGGACCGGCTTCGCCCGCCGCGCCGGGAAACGGCTCGGCGCGGGCAAGCGGTCTTGTGTTAGATGCTTTCGAGATTCAAATCAAGTAAAAAGCATCAATTTGCCTTACAGATATTCTTGAAGTTTTATGTTCAGTTCTAGCAACTCGAACACCACAAAAATGTCGACCTCAGTCATGGCAAACCACATAGGACCTGCTTGGCGCATTTCTTTATGATGTTGCTCAAGAGAAAAAGAGAAAAGGCTCCTCTGTCGCGAAGTTAAAGAGAATGCACTGCGAGTATTATCATTTCTGACTATTTAAAAGTAGTTTTTCAAATGCAAAGGTTAAGAGTAAATGTAAGGGTAGAAGGTGGCCGGAAATGGCAACGGAGCCCAAGAGAATAGCAAAAACAACGAGCGCCTCATTACGCGTGTGATCACATCCAAAAGCTTACCGACAAATGTTCATCCAGAACATTAATAACAAAAGCTAGATAAAGGCCTGAATGCTCAAGTCTTGCATTCCGTCTGCTAGACACCTCAGTACCGTTTGCCCACACCCTAAGAAAAAAAGCCACTCATTCTGAGCCGCTGCATTTCAACATTGCTTTCGTTCCGTTAGACATGCTATACCATTCTTTTGGAGCACTCTTTCATGAGTGGAAGGGTCGCCGGTATAAAGCAAGAGCTACTCGCCATGCTGCTTGCTTCCTCACCAACATCATCAGCACCTCTCAGCACCACCTCAATACACCAGCACTCAAAAACCTTTTTTTTTTTGCTTTCAAACCCACACCCCCTCAAACCCCCAACACTTTAAATCTTACTGCCCTAGAAAATGTCCGATCAAGGCCCCGGCAATTCCAAGTCTCAGTCTAACTTTTCTTCTACCGCGACAGAGGAACAACTTGCGCGCATCCGTGCGCGTGGAGACCCCTTCGTCGCCCAGGACGACAATGAGCCTTTATCTTCGCCGCCTCTTGATTTGGATGACCGGCCATCTGAGCTGGATAGCTCTGCCTTGCAAGGGCCTCAGCAAGGAGGTGGTCTTTTTGATCAATTTCCCAACCCTGAACCGGACATGTTCAGCTTATTGGGCCTTGCTGACCCGACCCAAGCTTCCAGCAGTCTTGCTGACCCGATCCAAGCTTCCAGCAGTCTTGCTGACCCGATCCAAGCTTCCAGCAGTCTTGCTGACCCGATCCAGGCTTCCAGCAGTCTTGCTGACCCGATCCAGGCTTCCAGCAGTCTTGCTGACCCGACCCAAGCTTCCAGCAGTCTTGCTGTAGACCCTTCGGACAGGGAACCCATCCCGACCACTGGCCATAACGCCCGTCAGCGTGGAGGTAGATGGCTCCTCGGGATTTTGAACCCGTCGCAGGCGGCAAGCAATGAACAGAGCCAGGGATCAGGCCCGGCTCTCAACACTTCTGCTCAACAACCCACGCCTCAGTCCACTTCTAAAACCCCTCATGGACTCCCAGCTACCTCTGGAACGGCGGCCACTCCTGCAACCCAAGGACCAGCGCAACCCTTGTCTAAGGAAAATCGCGGACAGAAGAAAGTTCCAGATTTTTGGGAAGTATACTTGCAGCGCGCACCCGGTACTGGAGCTATTACCGGCGTGCTTAGTGAGGCAGCAATGGAGCTGGCATTCTCACTGCCGACCCCATCCAACACCGGTGTGGATAGTGACCAAGAGATGGAATATGCGCCTGCCCTGAGCCCCACAGTTCCTACAATCACTATTGTGGAGGCCCAGGATGACTCGGATCAAGTACTAGATGATAGGGAAATTGAGGAGGTGGAGAATCTTCTACGTGGTCGCGTCGATAACACACTTAGCTCAAGGACTCCTATCCAGCCACTACCAAACCCCGATGCGAACATAGATCCTCTTCTAGCAACCTTATTTCCTGAACATCTCCGCCCCAGCACGTCCGCTCCTCAAGGACCGGGATTAGAGTTGAACGAGTCAGACGAGTCTCATGACTCCCTTTTCGATGGACCTGATGATGATGACACCAGTCCTATGGCTGATCGTGATCCAGCTGAGCAAACCCCTGATATTCCTCTTCAAGGAGGGACCAGCTCTAGACCATCTACGTCCGACGGGAATAACTCCCTCTTTAACGGAACCGATGACGAACCGGCGGCCGGTTCTGCATCTGGCCGTGATCCTGCTAATCAATCCCCTGATATTCCTATTCAAGGAGGAACCAGTTCTAGAGAATCTACGTCCGACGGGAATAATTCCCTCTTTAATGGACCCGATGAGGAACCGGAGGCCGGTCCTACAACTGGCCGTGATCCTGCTAATCAATCCCCTGATATTCTTATTCCAGGAGGAACCGGCTCAGGAGCATCTTCGTCCGACGGGAAGAACTCCCTCTTTGACGGATCCGATGACGAACCCGCGGTCGCTGATCCATCATCAGTGTCAACTGCTTCCGGGGCATTGTCCAGAGACAACCCACCCCCACCCCCCGCTCCACGCGGTCCACCGCTCCCTCACACCACGCGTGATGGTCTTCGATTGCCTGGTCCTGGTAAACCTGGTGCCTCAACTGTCCCCGCAGCAGCCCCTCTTCCCTCCACCACCCGTCCAAGACGTGGTGTTTCGCCTCTGCCCGGTGCCCCTTCTCAGAACCCGCGCACTGCTTCTGCTCTTCCTAGCACCACGCGCGCTGCTCCGCAGCCTTACACTACCAGAGATGGTCTTATGCTACCTGGTCCTGGCAGACGTGGTGTTTCACCTCTCCCCGTTGCCCCTTCTCAGAACACGCGCACTGCTTCTGCTCTTCCTAACACCACACGCGCTGCCCCGCAGCCTTTCACTACCAGTGATGGTCTTATGCTACCTGGTCCTGGCAGACGTGGTGTTTCACCTCTCCCCGTTGCCCCTTCTCAGAACACGCGCACTGCTTCTGCTCTTCCTAACACCACACGCGCTGCCCCGCAGCCTTTCACTACCAGTGATGGTCTTATGCTACCTGGTCCTGGCAGACGTGGTGTTTCACCACTCCCCGCAGCTGTCCCTCCCACCACCCAAAGGACCACCAGAAGAACAGTTACTCCTCAACCCCCAGCTACCACCAGCCAGAGAGTCACTGAGCACCAGCCTCAAAGTTCTCAACTCGCATCCAACACTACCATCCCCCAGCCCCCTGCTCAGTCAACATCAACCCAACCAGCACAATCTCAACAAGGGCCTTCCCAGGGCCAGAGGGTTACAAAGGGCCCTAGGGGGCCCTGCCCAATATGTGGCAAAGATTTAGCTATCTCCAGCCACAGGTCCCACCTGGCCTCCGTGCATGGTCTAAAAGAAAAACAATCATGCAAATTCTGTGGCATCATACTCCGCCACGCTGGTGATCTCCCACGTCACGTCAGGAGCAAACATCCTGAAATTGCCGCCCGCATGGCTGCCGGGGAGAAACTACGAGACCTTGAGCCATCGGCAGTCCATACCAATCAGACTAATCAGCCCACTACCAATCAGTCTGCCGGCCAGGGTAGCAGTGCCACTACTGATGTTGCAGTTTCCAGCCTTTCTCTTGATATTCCAGTTGATCCCAGGCTCTCTCATGATAATCCAGTTCCCAGCCTCTCTCTTGATATTCCAGTTCCCAGCCTCTCTCTTGATATTCCAGTTCCCAGCCTCTCTCTTGATATCCCAGTTCCCAGCCTCGTTGTTCCAGGTGGGCCAGCTACCCGAAGGCGCTCTCCACGAACAACTCCAGCGCCTGAGCCGATCCCCGGCCCTTCAAGTCTTGCGCCTGTTGCCAGCACCTCCAATGCGCCTCCTGCTAAACGAGCGCGCACCCGGGCCCAGACGCAAGCCGATGACGACAATGATCCAGTGAACAGCAAAACTAAGAAGGGTAAAGGCCCTGCAGTCGAGGTCTCCACCACAGAGGACGGCTCAAGTGTCGTAACTCTCCGCCCGAAAGTGACCAGGAAACGCAATCCTGAAGGCACGACCAAGCCCCGAGCTGGCGCCCGACAGGTGCAATGTCCGGATTGTGAAGAATGGGGCACGTTTAAAAACAGGAATCGCCATGCCGCCAATTGTGCGCCTCGGCTACTCAGAATAGCTGCCGAAACTCCTGCAACTCAACCTCTGCCACAGAAAAAGAAGGTCACCTGCCAGATCTGCAAAAAGCAGTTAGCCGGCGATCTTCCTCGTCACATGAGATCCGTACATCCCCAGCATCCAAGTGTGCGCTGGGAGGAGGAGGAGAAGGACGACGACGACGAGGTTGATGACCCTCAACAGGGCAGCTCTAACCCCAAGAGGAAGAAAAAGTGATCCGTCACTCTACCTCTATGCCTCTGCATTCTGGCATACCCTATTTCACCCTTTTTTCCCCTCCAACACTCGCACTCTAACCCCCTCACACCCAATTAATAAAGCTAACACTTCTCTTTTTAGCACATCTTTCCCTCCAGCAGAGGGAAACGTTGACACAGCTTATTTTCCTTCTCACACCATTCGACTTTCGGCAAACCCCTTGCTGATACTCGGAGTCTAACTCCTCCATATCTCTTGCATAGAGCTGACACTTCATATTGATCACTTCTTTCTCTACCCCGAAGGACACTGTTGCAGCTTACCTTATTTTTTCTGCTAATCATCCAATATTTCGAATCCTTTTGAATTCCTCGCTGATACTCGGGATCTACCCCTTCCTCATTTCTTGTACAAAGCTGACGCTTCATTTTCAGCACTTCTTTCTCTTCGGCGAAGGACACTAACCCAGCTCTACTTTCTCGCTATCTGCTGACAACGTCCGAACCCTTTCAACTTCATTGTATTAATCTGCCGCTCACTTTGACATCCTACCAAACATATCAAATATAATACTACAGCTCGTACTTTTTCCGAGTTCAACTTTCATTGTACATAGTTGCGACTGACTTTATTCACTTTTTTCCCCTCTTCTCTTGGACACATTTTTCTTGTTTCTTGATCCCCTAATAGAACCCATCAGTAATAAATAATCATTAAAATAAAGCCCAAGCCGACCAGCCCACCCCAGTCGGCTCGTGAGTACTCGCTTCTTCTCTGAAGAACCCACAGCCGCTCATGGTTGTCTTGAACATCGCCTGGATCAAAATTGAAAAAAAAAATCGTCCCTTTTTGCTTCGATTGTGGATGTACTCTATAAGTCTCTCTTCGATAGATATAATCCTTTTTTTTGATACCAGTCCCTCTTGCAGATTATTTGATGAGCGAGCTGAATGATTAATTTTTTTGTATTTTTTGAAATCCAGACTATATTTCTCGCACGTTCTTCATCTCAGCATTCAAGGGCCGATGCAATGAGACGCATAAGTAATCAAGCCGGGCCAAGTGCTCTCATTTTTCTCCATTGATTGTGGATAGTGTGAGGCCCAGCCCAATCAAGTAAAACCAGATGTTTTCGATGACCAATGGCAGCGCGACCAAAAGCATCAAAGCGTTTGGTATTCATGAGCATAAACTGTCCTCAACACTTCCAAACATGGCCTTTCCTTAATTCGGAATGCTCAAGTCCAAAGGAATACCAAATTCCCGACAGAAGAAATTGATGTCCGAGACTGCAGAGAGGGTATGTACGACGCGCCTGTAGTTTAGTTGTACGCGCGCAACGGGCTGTGAAACTGACTTGGACCCCCTCCTTGACTGAGCGCCGCACCCGGGGCGCTGGAGACGCTCCCCACGGGGGCGCATGCTCCCGATGGGGCGGTGTGGCACAATGGGGGAGAAGATTTCCCCAGAAACCATCATAACCATTTCCTCCACTCCAGCCATCACTACTTCTCTCGAACGCATCCTATCACGCTGGAAGCCAACCGAAATCATCTTGAGATCAACACAATATGGTTGTGTAAGTTTTTACTCGATGAATCATTTGCAACTAAATGGTACCATGACTGATGACTTCTACGACATGTACTACCACCACCAGTTGCACCTACTTCTTGAAGGGATCTTGCAAAGTTGAGCCGCATTACTTGAGTCCGATTCATGAGCGTTTCAAGCGACACTGATGTTCCCCTTTGCTCATCAGTTTGGCAACACGTGCAGGAACTCTCACGTGGTAGACGGGGCCAACAAGACAGCAAATACTAGTGCTTTGCCCGGACCTGATAGCTTCGAAACGTGAGTTGTTTCGCCAGAGACCTTTTTGGAAAATAACTAGATCTTGTTAACTTATTCTTGACATCAATCGTTTTTCATCTAGACAGGATTTCCCGGACAATGCAAGATGACCTGACGACCGAAAGACCGCTGTATTACCTCTCGGTCTACTCCCCACACAAATCTGCAATCAATATGATCGATGGCACCGATGTGTCACCCGAAGAACTGCGTTTTCAAGCTTACCAAGCTCGAGCTAATAATACCACATCCCAATATGTCAGTTTTGCATCCCTGGGTAGGGGTCAGCAAGCATTTGCGATTGCTCACTGAGTTTTCCTTCCTTTCCATGCACAGGTTGCCCATGAAAGCCAACTTCTGCAGCAGATGGATTCAGTAATCAAAACGGTCACCCAAAACTGTAAGGAATCTTACAAGCATTTTTACCACACCCAGCTGCCATTAAACCACCCGAGTTCGACTTTCCGCAAGCCAACCCCTGGGGTGACGTCATTCGGTGGGAGTGGGTTTGGTTCAAACAACCAACCCACAGCATTTGGCCAAGCTGGCTCGGGCTTTGGTGGCCCCTCTACAGGCGCCTTCGGAGCCTTCGGCTCCCAGGCCGCCAATCCGACCGTGTCTGCGTTTGGACAACCGTCTTCTGTCAGACCGACGATAAGTGCCTTTGGCCAGCAGACCTCAGCATTCGCTACTCAACCCTCCGCACAGCCCGGCACAGCCACCGCTTTTGGCAAGCCATCTGCTTTCGGCTCACCCGCACCCGTCGCATCTGCTTTCGGGGCTCCATCGGCGCCTTCTGCGTTTGGCCAGCCTTCTCAGTTCGGAACAGCTTCTGCCTTCGGCGCGGCCTCCTCTCAGCCGACAACTGCCTTTGGGACATCCCCTCAGCCGACTGGTGCGACCGCGTTTGGGTCGACCCCTCAGCCGACTGGTACGAATGCCTTTGGGACGAATACTCAGTCGACTGGTACGACTGCCTTTGGGACGCCCGCTCAGCCAGTGGCTGCAACGGCCTTTGGGGCGGTCTCTCAGCCGAGTGGCGCGACAGCCTTTGGATCGAATGTCCAATCCGCACCCACCAATTCAGCCGGCGCCTTCGGCCAAACATCCCTCAACAATACTTCCACTGCGTTTGGTCAGCCTGCCAATCAGGCCACAAGTTTCGGCCAATCATCTGCATTCGGCCAGCCTCAAACCCCCAACGCCTTTGGAAAACCATCGGCATTCGGCCAGTCAGCTTTCGGAAAACCGTCGGCTTTCGGCCAGTCTCCATTTGGTCAATCGGCCGCCTTCGGCACCCCGGTTGCTAATCCGTCCGCAACTCCTGCTGCGACCACTGCCTTCGGACAATCATCAGGCTTTGGTGGATCGTCTGCGCCTTTTAGCCAAGCCACACCATCCATGACTACGCCGCCTAACAATCAAGCCAACACCAGTAGCGGTGGCGGGGGAGGAGGCTTTGCTGCCTTTGCCGGCGCGGCAAACCCTTCGATGGCCACCAGTTTTACGAATAATCAAGCCGCTACAACTCCACCCGGTCCTGCGGAAGATAGCAAGCCGATTGTCTCTGCTTTCGGCCAGCCGATGACTCCCTCTAAACCCTCCGCCTTGCCCAACACTTCTTCTTTCTTTGGCTCCGCTAATCAGGTCGCTTCTAGCAGCAATCCGAATCCATCGTCGTCGGTTGGCGACCGGGCCCCTGAGAAATTCAAACTCCTCGACCCCTTCTGGCAGGATGCTCCTACCGAAGCCGACCTTTCGCCCGCCCTTCTCGAGGCGTTTAGGGCCGAATTCTTCGCCTGGGACTTCATTCCTGACGTCCCTCCTCCTATCACTTTGCGTTGACTCCCAACATTTCTTCAAAAAAAAAAAAAAACGTCTTTCGAATTTGTTTTTGTTTCATACTTCTTTCTGTTCATCTACTCTCACTATTTTAGACCTTTATTTCATCGAATCATCTTCTTTCTCGCTTTTGTGCTTTCCTTTTCTTCTTTCTAGATTGTTTTTTTTTGCATCAGCAAAGTAAACAAAACAAATAAGCCATGTTTTTGTATCGTTCTATGCCAACCGTTTTTCGTTTCTTCGTGGTTCTTTCAAATCACGAGAACCATTTCTTTTGCTGAACACCGAAAACTATTGGTAGTAGGTGGATACATATATACAATGTTATCATGGTCGCCTAGTTCTGAAGTACGTGATGGTGATCATTGATAAGTTCGGTGTACAGGTTTTACAGTTTATGCATTTGGCTTGGAGTCTGCCAAAAGCTTTCCCATGCACCCAAACCCTGCCGCTGGCTTTGGCCGCACAATTCGATCCCGTTACCCATTCCTCAGCAAGCATATTGTCATCTCTACCCATCACTCCGATCCCAGCTTTTTCCTAACATCGATCTCCATTCCTCATTCCAGGTCCGAGTCGTGTAACATGGCACCCCGCAAGTTCGAAGTTTCGGTCAAAGTAGCCGCTGTGCGGATGTTGCTCGAAAAACACGCCCAATGCCACATCCGGGAAACTCTTGGAGCGACGATTCCCAAGCAAGCATTCGAACGTTGGCTCGAGTTGTATCATGAAGCCCAGCGAGCGCTCCACGACCCTGCAGTCTACGAAGCCGAGGGTCGGAACAAACAGTTATCGAACGAGGAGCGCGAGTTTATCGTCCACTTGGCCCGCTTGGAACCTGGTCTTTTCAGTCATCATCTTGAACATCCTCAGGATGATGATGATGAAGATGATGATGAGATGGAGGACCCCGATCATTCCCCGCTTCGTCCTCGTACTACTGCTGCTCTTCGTCATCAACACTTGGTCGACAAACTCAAGACTATCTTCAAAAAACCTGTGCCCCTTACGATTGGAAAAATCATCCGAGAACAGATGAAGTACGCCGCCGGAATAGCCCACATGCCTGCCCAATTACTGGTCTTTACTGGTAAGCAAGCCTCATCAAGCACTCCGATCTTCCGTCTTCCAGCTTGTACATATATTGTCAAATTCTTGCGCTTATCTTCGGAGGAGTGGGACAGATGAATTTGCGGTACGCTTTCGCGACTTCCGATCGCTCGCCGAGTGCAACAATAATGATGGCTGCTACCTGCGTACCCAAGTCCCCGTCCAAACGGGATGCTTCACTCTGTTTGTTTCAATCGGTTATAATGGCGTCACGGACTTAGACATCACCCAATACCAGATCGACTCGACGGACTTCGAAAGCTACTTAGAAATCCTCCTGGTGCGCTAGTGTTTGTTTTTTGTATCCGTGAATTCAAATGGATGATGGATCACTGAGAGATCTTGTGGGTTAATTAAACAAGCTTCCACGCATGAATCCATATCCAGGGCCCAAGTCGGTTTTAGTGCTGGACCAATCAAGCGTACACCAAGGGCCCCGAGTAGCCCAACTATGTGACCAAGCGGGCGTCAAGCTAGTTTATCTCCCGCCGAAATCTCCCCAATTGAACCCGGTCCACTCGTGCATCCCGCTCGTCAAACGCGAGCTCCGACGGGCCCAGGCGTTGAAGATCGGGCTGGAACGCGACGTCACTTGGGTCATTCGGATGAGAACTTATGGCGTCCTCACCGATACGTTGTGTCGCCAGCTCTTCAATCAGGCTGGGCTCAATTGTCCTCCTCAAAATCAAGAGGATGATGATTGAAATTCAAATCGTTTACAAGCTTAATGATCTCCTGACATCGTTTTTCTTTCTCTCCTTGTTTTTATACCTCTTGTGTCTCACAAATCTATTAGTGGCTAGCATCAATTTGACAAAGTATTCCGAGCTTACAGGGCAAGACTTGAATGTGATTTGTTTCAAGTGCAAGGGACAGTTGCTTTGATAGTGACCAAAACTTTACTACGTTTCTCCAAAAAAAAATTGAGATGGTGATTAGAAGTGTTGCAAACTAGAGTCTTGATACTTGTAAAATCACAATCATTATCCCAGAAGCTTAAAGCAACGTGATAATGATATATTCACTGGTGTTGTTGAGCTACCTCCAATAGAAGGTGTTGGAAGTATGTGAAGCTCCTTCTCATCATTGCACCAGAATGTTTGGATTACAATTGTAGATGGCAAAAACATACCCTGGATGTTGAGGGTGTCTGATTTTTTTGGCCAAAAAATCTTTTTTTTTTTTTTTGGAATCTAGGCTAGGGTTTTGTAGCCCTTTTGAGGCTAAAGAATGATATATAATGGGCTTGGAGTATTGAATAAACACTCCAAGCAGATGAAACAGGCACTTGAAGGACCTCCAAGAGGTATATGTGTAAGACCATGAACAAGCCTCACTTAAGCCCATAGTCATGGGTTCTAGTATTGCTTTTGGTATGCATATCCAAATACATGTATGTCAGACTACAAAAAAAGAACCGCTGCAGTAGAAGCTGAGTGGTCACAATTTTGAACTCCACACATCTGTAGGAGTTTGAAATGCACTAAAAATAAGTATTGGGGTATATTCCCCCCAGGGCCCAGGCATAGACCCCACATCTCAATTTTGGGCTTTGCAGGTGGGGCATGGTTAGTTTTTTTTATCTGCAACTGTAACAAACTTAGCATTTGGACAAGACTCTGTGGTTTTTGTTCATAACCCAGCTAGGTGCAATTGAAAATGTTGGCAGATGTTTGAAGAGTCACACAGTCTTTGAAACTAGATTTCTCAATCTCCTGGTGATCAATATCTGAATCTGATGTTCTTCACACTGGATATCATGGAATGATACATTCTCCACATTGCAATGAATTCTAGTGAACAAACTTTTACAAGGGTCTGTGGGTATGTAGAGATGTAGAATTCTGATTCTAATGGTGCCTTTGGCAAAGTGTGACCAACGCTGGGCCAGCTACGCTAACGGTAGTGTTAGCCTAGCGTAGTGTAGCGCAAATACACTACATTGTAGCGTAGTGTTAGCGCAGATTTCTGTATCTGTGCTAACGCTACGCGTGTGGGCTGCAAAAAAGGGCCCACTACGCTGTGCTACAGTGCATTTTAGCGGTTTTTGCCGCTAAAAGCGCTGTAGCGCAGCGTAGTGGCACTAACAGCGCGCTAACACTACAGGTTTGGCGCGCTGTTCTGAGGGCCGCTACGTTAATGTTAGTGGGCCGTTTAGCGTAGTGTAGCGTAGCGGCCCACCGTTGGTGTGACTGTGAATAAAAAATGTTAAGGGGGCTCCCTTGCAGGAGGGTACTTGCACAGGGAGGGACTTGTATCAAGTTAGCAGTTTTTGGGGTTGCTTGTGTCACAGCAGTTGGCTGCAACCATTTTTTTCAACTCCCTGAAACAATGTGTTTGCCTTGAAGTTTGGTTCTTAACTACAAATAACAGTGTGATGTAGACTCTAACAGGAGGAAACTTATCATAATGAGCTGTCAGGTTGTACCTGATTTATTAATGCTAAACACTGACATGCTTGTTGAGGCAACACAGGGAGATATACACACCTGACTTGTTACAGCAAACAGGATGGTTTCATGCCACTTAGCTTCTGTATTTGATTATTAAAGTATCTCAAGCTTTATGAATATAGAATTGAAACGGTTCAGTTTGTGTCCCAATTCATGTAAATGATTTATGCACATTAAGCTACCACGTTTGCCATGAGTAAGGTATAGATAATTCTGTTCTGGAATTTGACAAATGTTTCCTTTTTGCATTCAATTCTTTTCATTCTGTTTCAATCTGTGGATCTTTTCTCCTTGCTAAGATGCTTTTACACTATTTTCTCATTGGTACCTTATCTGTCTCTGCTTCCTTTGGAAGTATGAAGGCTTCAGAAATTTCAGAAATTGAAACAGTTGGTCACAGTGGTCAGGCAACTCTAAGTGGTAAATACATTCTTTTTGAAAACTGATGAAACAAAATTATCTTGCCTTCCTGACCCTGTTTTGTTCCTTAAATCTGTCTTATTTGTGATTTCAATTTATTTCTCCTCCAGGTCAAAACTTGGCTGAAGAAAAGCTTCCAACAAGAATTTCCAGTGCTAACTATGATTTCAACAACAAGAAAGATTTCAGGCTCTATTGGTAAATATAAGATTGATATTCACTAGATATATGAGTAAGAATAAAATAAAAATAAAGAAATAAAGAAAAAACAAATTATTCCATCACCAATTTGAATTTTATCTTCTCTCTGATCTATCTTTGGCTTTACCCTTTTGCTTGGCCTCATTTGCCTTATTCAATGTCCATTGATGAAGACTGTACACCGTCTTTATGACTGGAGGAATGCCTCCAGTCATCAAGACTGTACACCATCTCAAAGGCCGGAGGGAACCCTCCAGCCTCAACAAAGCAACCAGATTAGTTCAGCAACACATGTAAGACACCAGCTGGTGTCCTACATGGGTTGCTGACACCTTTGTGCAGCCCAACACACCCAAAAAAGGGAGTTTTGGACCACCAATGATAAATGAAATTCTTCAGGAGAAGCATTCCCAGGGCGGGTGTAAGGCGGGTACCCGGGTACCTGCCTTTTTTTACCGCAAATGTTGACACCCGCACCCGCACCCGGTACCTGTTTCCGGGTACCTGCTTTGGAAAACAGGTACCTGCAAATGGGTACCGGGTACCTGCAAACAGGTACCTGCTGATATCTCTATCCTCAAACAATAGAAGAGGTTGGTTTCATTTACTTTAGAAAAATTCTGAAATATATTGCATATTGTTCATGAAAAACTGAGACTAGTAATTCTCTGATGGTAAGACTTTGAGTCCTTCAAGACTAAGCTGAAAAACAAGAAAAGTAGGTTTATTTTTTCTTTTGTTCTTCTTGTTGGTTGGCTCTATTACCAAATAAGAGCTAACAAGAGAAATTGGAACTGTAGGAGAGCTTCAGTTGCTGAGGGAGGAGTTTCAAGTACTCAAAAAACTTCCTTCTGAAATTTCTCCTTACATCAAGGAATCCAAATTGAAAGGCTTTCTGATCTGATATCAAGACATTTTAGCA